AAAGCACCCAAGAAAAAGTGCAGCTAGGAGCAGTTAATATTACAGAACTGAAGGTTTATTTATGTTGGAAAAGACCTCAAAGGTCACTGAGTTCAACCGTTTATCTCCCCACTAGAGTCCTATACAATCTTATAGTTTGAACTAAATTAAAACTACTGTAAGGTCCAATTGCACCTATTCATGTTTTTCTGGAATATTTTAAAGAAACCAGAAAGACTGTAAATGTAAAAGATCATTAAAATATCAAGATTCTCGTGACTGAATCCACGTCACCGCTCCTGCCTGTGCTGCAGACACTGCCCATCCTTTTGGGACGTGTCCCTGCTCCAGCATCCTAAACTGATCCCAGTTGTGACCTTCCCTACAGGGCACTTGCTTAACTCCATGTGCCAGTTTTCCAGAATTCCACCAGGAATGGAAGCAATCAGATTTTATTCATGCTTTACACAGCAGTAATTGAGAGGAGCACAACTAAATGTCTAATCAAAGATTATCCCACCCGGGAGTCAAGAAGAACCCAAATCTTCCTTTCAAAATGGATTTGCCTCTCTTCTCCCAAGAACCTAACACAAAACATTTGCCTCCATCCTCTACTCCTAAAAGCTGTAAAAAATGAGACAAAGGTATTACAATCAGTAGAAGTCAAATAACAAATAGCAAATCCAAGCACAATGTAAGAAACATCAGATTTAAGTCAACATCAACTGTGTTCCTTGAATGCCCAGCTGAAGGTGTCACCTTTGTGCTTTTATCATGCAAAGACTGGACTTCCCTGCACACCTGCAGAGAGAGCCATGTGGGATGAACAGCAAGTTCTGTATCCTAATCCTCCTGAACTTTTCTGTTTGGCACTGCAATCCAAACACATCTTTTTTTTTTAACTTGACTTCTGAACCTTCAAACAACACAACAAGTAAGGATAAAGCCACTGATCTTTAAGGAAAGCCTTTACTTCAGCCCTTGTAGGAATTCCTCAGGGAAAACAAGACTACACTTTCCCTGCCTCAGGGAAAAAACAGAGCACTCTTTCCCTATTTTAGCAGCTTCCATTGTTCCTGGAGAAAGGTGGCTCTTTCCTCACACAGGCTCCTAGATATCAGCCCAGCTGCTGAAACCAGAGGCACTGACAGGGGAAACCTGGTTCATTTTCCTCCAAAACATCTGGGGGAAGATCTAGCAAATGATGGCCCTGGGACAGGGAAAGAAAAATCCTGCTGGACTGCCAGGCTGCAGAAGTGGCCTCGAACCTTCACAGCTCTGCATGTACCAACCAAGGCAACCTCATCGAAGAACATTTCAAACACTGCCTTATTTCCCCCTCCTCCCCTTTTGAGAATGGAGAAATTACTCAGTTGTCAAGGGGAGAGAATCAAAGAACTTGCACATTTAGATGAACAGTTGGGTAAATTTTTCAGACACTCTTTCTTCTATTTTTAAAGAAAGCAATTCATAATCCATTTCGTGTTCGCCAGTTATCACTTTCAACACTTCTTAATGAGTTGCCAAAAGTAACTGCCAGCTTTTGCAATTTCTTTGGCATGTTATTTAATATCCTGTGTTTTACATCTGACTACACAGCTCACAGCAGACTTTCTCCACACAACAATTATGTGAAGTGTATATACAAATTAACACTGAAAATAATCCCTTAGGTGAGTAACTTGTGACACTTAACACTGGCTAAGAAGTAGAACAATCTCAAGAAAAGCAACCATCAGACCTATGAAACATGAAAGCCATGCCTTTTTCTCACACATCCTTCATAAGATATTATTTCCTGCACTCCTTAAGGCAGACTGCAAATTTCCACCTGTGCAGACTTTCTACATAGAAAAGTAGGGTAAAACACACACTCAGAGACCAAAGTACAATACCAAGTTCTACACATTTAAATCACCCTGCATTTTAATCCAAATAAAGGTATCTCAAAATAGCTGAAGACACAGTAATAAATTTGAGCTTTGCACAGTAAAATAACAATCACTCCACTAACATATCAGAAAGGTTAAAACTGCACAGCCTGCCACGTTCATCCATCTCACAAAATACTCTGCAGGACTCAGGCAATTAATGTTTATTTTCTGTCTCTCTTGACCTAATGGCACCAGAATTCTTCTGTGTTTCAGTCACAGTGACTCCTGAATATTATACTTTATAGACATAAAAACATAAGACATTACTTCTGATTAATTTTAAACTTCTGAAAATTTTCATTCACAGAATATAGCATTCTGACACCTCAGAAATAGGCTGTGAAAGAAAACAGCTTAATAAGAAACTCACCTAAAACTTATTTTTCAGTACATACAATATCCTGTGCTTAAAACTTGATCCCCCTATTGATTAATTATAATGACTACTCCAGCAAATAACTGACATTTCCAAAGCCTGAGCATAACATTTGTCACCAGTGAACAGTCTCTGGTTATAAACCACCCACCGAATCAAATATAAGTCTCGTGCCTAGTTCTGATAAGATAAACCTTCAGAATTTAAACCTTTATGATTTGGTTTTAAAAGGTTGTCAGCCCCAATTTTTAAAGACCACTCTAAGGTCAAACATATCTAAAACACAAGCACTGCCACAATGGAAGAAGAGCCTGCAGATCACAAGCAGAGTCAGGGAAGTTCAGTGTGAATTTCCCAAGGACAATAATAATTATTTCTTAACCCTGTTAATTAGAACAAATACAGAAATGATGCAGTACAGTTTGGGCAGCTACCACAAAGATCTGCCAGAGGACATGAATCCTGACAAGCTACAACCTCATGATTCTAATCCCACTACATGAAAATAGTCAAACTTTTGCATCCTGCAAGATATTTCTCATTCATAAAGCCTTGCTGGTTTGCTCTATTAAAACAGGGAAAAGGAGGATCTATAATGCAGGGGGATATTTATCTGGACAGCCCCTGCACAGGAACGATTACACCTGAACCCCTCCAGATTTCAGCTGACTCTACAAATACATGAACATGCACTATCCTCATGGTTTTATTTTTACATAAATCCCTCAAGTCAAATTACACTCTTTGTACAATCCCAACTGCCTCACATAGCTAGAGAACAGCTGCCTGAGGCCAACATGATCAACATTTGCTGTGCACACATCTTAAAGCTGACTTGGGGATCCTCACTCCCCTCTGAACACAGAGCCAAGCAGTCAGTCCACATGTTTGCATCCTTTCTACTCTATGTGCAACACTGGTGTGTTCCTCAGAAGTTTACAAATGACAAACAATTTGTTAATATCTGCTGGGAATTTTAATTCTGTATGCTGGCCACAGCAATTACAGTCACATAAAAACCACCAGCATGGAAGAGAAGCAGCTAAAACTACTCATTTGAACAGACTGAGAGGATATTCTTGCTCCAGTCCCACCCAAAACTCCAGTTGTGCACTTACACTGTGCACTTGTCTCACGATCCATTGCTAGAACGTGTGCTTGCAGCAACCACTAAAGAACTGATTGTACTGAGTCCCACAGAAAGCCCCAAACAACCAAAGACAGACACACAAACTCAAAGAAGAACTTGTCTGCAATTTTGTTGTCATTGAACTAACGAAAAAAAAAGCATCTCTAGATGAACACAGGCTTCTGTGTTTCTTTTTCCTGGAATACATTTCTCTTTGAAGGCTTCTTCAAGTCTTCTTATCCTTCCAGACATCCCAAATTTAAACACTAAATTACTGCCTTTTCTGCAAAGAGCTCTTTTACAAATTTCATCCAATCCTGCACTTACCTCTTTTCTGAGAGCACAAAGTTCTTCCAAGTGTTTCCAGGCTTTTATTTATGTCTTTCCTGAGATAAATTCCATTGAGCTACAGCCTTCCTACTGACACTCATTTCTAAAACTTGCACTGTAGTTGGCTACTCTGTGGTTTAGATTGCCTCTTGTTATTAATTTCCTTTCAATTCTCTGATTTTATTCTGGCTTCCTTCTCTTCTGAAAAGTTTGTCATTGTTTTCAGTTTTTAATTAAACAATAATATTTGAGAACATAAACATGGTGTGATGCATAAAGCATTATATATATATACACACACATATATATAATGGATCAGTCATCAAATGTTAAATACTGGAAAATACCTGTTAAAGTTGTTTCAAGCAACTTATACAATTGAAAAATAATACAGGCACCCTCTTCATCTCCTTTCCTCAGAATTACTGATCTACTATGTTCTACAAACACAGACCTTAGGCAAAAATGCCTTAAACTCTGACTAAACAGCTCTAAACAGCTGCCCTGTACTAACATCCAAAAATGTTTGCCTCTACATTTTAGTAAGACAGCTCAGCTCTAGCCCCAAATGGCCCAAAGCTAAACTGCCTCCCTTCAAGCTTTTAAACCAACGAAGCTTCAAAGTAACTTAAAATACAGCCCACCCTCCCCCTGCAACTCCATCAGTCTGAGTTGAAATGAGCACACTCCACTGAAGAGCTTGGGACAGCAGAGCACATCATCCTGTCAATCCTTGGAAAAAACAAAGAGTACTCACAATACACACAAAACTTTCAGTGTAGACAGATCACACCCAGAGGTGAATCACAGGAATCAAACCTTTGTTTTGAATAAAGTATATTTTAAAAAGTTAACTATTGTCAATCCTTGTATAGAATGTGCTTGGCTTTTTTTTTTTCTAATGTGAAATCCAGTTATGCCAGGCAGCCATTCGGCATACTGGGATACCACAGTCCTGATTCAGAGCACCAAGGGGCACTTCTCAAACCAGTGACACAATCCAAACCACAACTGAGCTTTGTATCCTCCAGTGATCTCAGTCTGAACAAGGTCTTGAGGGACTCTATAAAGCAAAATTTTTTCCTAAAATAAATAAAAATCCTCAGAAGATAAACTACATTTCAGTAAGTATTTCCTGTTTCCACAATACAAAGGGGACAAAGGCAAAGTTGCACCAATATATGAGCTGATGATGTGCAAGACAGAGTAGAACACAACACACCAGAGTGAAGTGAAACCAAGCCAGACATACCTGAGCTGTTGACAGGCGAAAAACAGGGCCAGTGGTGGGCACAGAAAGCCTGGGTGACAGGTTGGCAGGGCCCTGCCCCTGTGTCTGCACCTGAGCCTGCATCTGAGCCTGGGCTAGAGCCTGCTGGGGCACCATCACCAGCTGTCCCGCGTCCGTGCGCACCAGCACCATCCCTGGGAACAAAGGGACGGGGATTGGAGGACATCAACACAAATGATGTGCAGAATAACATACAAAGAACTGTGTGACTGCAGAATAGAGAATAAAATGCATGTATAGCACTGCACATTTTTCCCTCTGCTGTATGCCTTTTTATTCTCACATAACACGAGATTTAATTTCAAAGAAGAAGAGGAGGCGCAACCAGCAGCCAAAACTTCATAGCCAATTCAGTCTGGAATTCAAATAACTGCAGTTTATGGGTAGCAGTGATGAAAAAAGCAGTGATGTCACTTGAGTGTACAGGTGTACAGCAACTGTCTGCAGTCTAGTCAGGTCAGAATAAAATTAGAAAGAAAATACTCATTAAAAGTGAACTACACCAACAATGCAGCAGCTGAGAACAGAACTCAGCGTTTCATTTACCAGGGACAACGACCTGAGAGCTCCACTGAAACAGCAGCTCATGGGGATATGTCCATGCAAACATTAGATCAGGCACATTTCTGAGTATACAATATTGGAAATTTACTGAAACACTGAGCATTAACAGATGAACTGATTTGGTGCCCACCCCACCATCCCCACCATTTTTGGAGGCACTACCTGTGGTTTGGTCATCAGGAACAAACAGTTCCCTGTCAGTGCCTGAGAACCAACACAACCACCCCTCAGCACACAATGATACCAGTGCAGCAATTTCAGAAAAATGGCAACAGAAGTGGTTTTAAAATTAACAATTTCTGGAAGAAAATGATAATTTTTCAGATTATTTTCTTGTAAAACACCTCACAAACAGAGGTCTTCTACACAACACAGCCACTGCCATCAAGTTGTGCCCTAAGTTTTCTGGTCAGCAGGGCACTGAAGGGGAGACAATGGCTAAGCTGGTCTCTGGATCACTGGAGTTCACACTTATTCAAGGTCACTGCAAAGCATGCAATGATCTTCCTCTAGTTCACTCAGAACTGAAAAACAGTTACCAGACGAGAGTATTTAAAAGGAAATTCCAAGTTAGCTCCAGAACACATTTTAATAATGTAACCTAGATAGGATACAACGGGTCAAATAAACAGCAAAACATCTTGTTTGCAGCTACTAGAGAACCAAAAAAGTAAGAACCCTTTTATTCTCCTGCTAACAGTCAGTAGACATTGTTTCCACAACTTATTTCCATGTGCAAATCACTTCATATATATTTTTTAGCTTTTCAAAGGAAAACAAAGAAGGTCCCCATTAAAGGGACACAAACACAACTCACTTGATGACAAAGCAATTCAAACACCAGTGTAACAAATTTCAGAACCCTATACCAAGAAAGTCTTTCTTTCAGTTTCTGACAGAGAAAACCAAGTCCCAGATGTGGGATGAACGTGTGAGTGAACTGCAGCACCAACAAAAGCCCTCCCTCACACAGTCTCGGGTGCTCCCTGCCAGCCTGCACTGCTACAAACACAAACAAGCAAATTTCTGCCACTACAAACTAAAGATTCGTGGAAATCGACAGCAAGGACCACATCCAAACTCCAAATCCATAATCACATTCCCTTTCAATGCAAAGAGTAATTAAAAAAAAAAGTTGAAAGAAACCCCTTAAAAAAAACCCTTAAAAACTCCTTTAAAAGGTAACCTTTAAGGTCCATTAGCCATTTAAGCATAAACTTCACAGTTTATATCTGTAGAAAGTTCTGCAAGCAGATGATGTGTTTGGTATAAACATTCCTAAAACATCTGGTTATCACTTCTCTGATTATGTTGTAGACCTGAATAAAAATAATCCTCATAGGATAATCTTGCCACACGTTAAAAAATTCACATTTGCATTACACAGGTTCACAGGTGTGTTGTTAATTTATCTTCCCATTTTCTAAACCTTTATTCTCAATAGGGAAAAATTGAATGGAAAGGAAAAATTAAATGCAGCACATGCCACACAACCTCAATTAAAGTTGCAGACGTAATTACTACTAAATAGTTCATGTATTAACATTATGTTTAATTCAGTTTGGAGGGCTATAAATTCCTTTTGCTGAGCACTATGTACATTAGAATTTGGTCACATTATGAGATTATTTTACCTTCCTGTCAGCCAGTTAAAGATGAAATACACAACTTATGAGTATTATTCACCAGAAAAACCTATTCTCAAAAACCGATTCTAAATTTCTGCTTTATGCAGAAGTTTGCAATATGGGAGTTTCAGATTAATTATAAATGATCCACCAGTTTAAAAACTCAAAAATACCACTGGATTTTCTGAGTAACTTCACTTTAGAACATACTATCTTCATGCTTTTGCAAATTTAATGGATTTCCAACTATCTTGTAATGAAATCAAACTCGAATTATAACTTTCCAGAGCATTATTTACATAACATTTACTAAGCCTTGGGTTAGGCTGTTTTCAAAGGCTCTGTTTTCCCTCTTCTGTGTGAAAGTAACAGGTCAAAGTATTGCTACAATGAACTTCAGAAACTGTGTGCAAAGTTACAGTGCACATTATCATATGCACACAGCAATTTTGGACAGACTGACAACAGCGAGTCAAGTCTGGAGAGCAACTTCAAATAAGTTGGGTCTTCGTGAAACCAGAGAGCTTTGCATGTTTGGAGCATCAGAATCTGGGGGAATCTTTCATGAACTATGGCCAAATACATAACTACGACCCAGTCAACCTAAGAGCAAGCTTCTAGACCATCCCACTGTTGCTCTACTTAGGCAATAAGTATCAAATATTTTAAGAAACAAGATGGTAGAAGTAAGTTATTTCAGACATTGATATTAACAGGGAAAAAAATTAGTTCAAATGTTAAGTCAACTCCTAAATCAAAAAGACACAAAGATACCCAAGCCTTTGCAACATGAAAGTCAACTCCTCAGATGAAACAATATAGTTAGCTCAGGAATCACTGGGATGATGGGATGGTGCTTTGGTTAGTCAGCAACCTTGCTGAACTTACATTTTTAGTAACGAAAAGTTAAGAAACTTAGAGCAGCACAAACAGGACATAACAGTTGCCTCAGAGTTGGAAACGAAATAGGATGGTGTGAAGACTGCCCTGACACAGCAGACAGTGACACCACCGCAATCACTGACACTGAAAATTCTACATTGCACAGATTTGCCTGTATCCTGCCACCTGATTTGCAGCAGAAGACGTGCTTTCCAGCAGCAAAACTTTTCAAGACTATCAAGAGTAAAGCAGAAAATAAAGTCCTTCAAAACATATATGAAGTTATTCTCAGCTAACACCCCAGCTTTGTGTCCGGTACCACCTCGGGGTAACTCACCGTGACTGCTGCTGACCCCAGGACACTCCAGTAACTCACCCTCAACAGCTGCAATTACCGAGCACGAGCCGCGCCAGTGACACCCTAATTAGCGGCAGCCCGTGGAGGTGGCTCTTCTCCGGTTTCCAGCACGTCGAGCAGCGGGAAGGTGACAACTTCAGGGGGAGAAAAGCCCTGGGGCCAAGAACGTGAGACGGCGCGGGGAGCGCGGCGCTCACTTACCGGGCGGGATGGTGAAGCCGGGCGGCAGCTGGATGGTGGTTTGCGGGGGGGGCCGCACGATCAGCTGCGGGGCCACGATGCGGGGGGGGGCAGCGCCCAGCGCGGGCCGCGGGGACACGGGCTGGGGGGCGGCGGGCAGGGCAGCGCCAGCGCCGGGCTTGGCGGGCCCCGCGGGCTTGGGCGCGGCAGGGGCTGCGGGGGCCGGCGCGGCGGGCGCGGGGCTGGCGGAGGCGGCGGGCGCGGGCAGCGCTGCGGGCGGGGCGGCCCCGCTGGCGGGCGGCCCCGCGGCCGGGCGGGCCCCGAGCCCTCCCGGTGGGCGCCGCCTCGCCGGGGCGCGGCGCGGGGGCAGCGGCGGCGCCCTCGGCCGCTCCCCCGCCCCGCCGCCCCCGCCGGGGCCCCGCCGCCCGCCGCGGGCCCGGGCGCGCTGTCGGCGACGGGCGGGCTGGGGCCGGGGCCGGGGCTCCCCGCGTCCCGCCCGGCGCCGGCGGCCACATGGTTGTTGACAGGCGGGGCAGGGGCGGCGGGCGGCGGCGGGGCGGGCGCGGCGGGGCTGCCGCCGGCGGGCGCCGCTCCATGTGATTGCTGCACACTACTACTGTTTACACTCGCTGCCCGCCCCGCCGCCGCCAGCGCCGCCGGCGGGGACGGGGCCGGCGGCGGCCCCGCGGCGGGGGCTCGGCTGCCCGCGGTGCCGGGGTGCCCCGCCGCCTCCCCGGGGCCGGGCGCGGGAGGGGACGCGGGGCGGCCGTGCTGCTGCTGCCGGCCGGGGCTGCTGCCCCCCGCCAGGCTCCCCTGCTGCTGCGGCGGCGGCGGCGGCTGGGACGGGGCGGAGGTCCTGGGCGCGGGCGGCTCGGCGGGGCCGCGGCCGCCTGCCAGCTGCGATTCCAGGGATCCCACCAGGTCGCTGAGCGCCTTCTCGTCCACCTCCTCGGAGAAGAGCAGCATCTCTTCCAGGGGGTCCGACGCGCCCGCCGCCATCTTGCGCTGAGCTGGGAGCCGGCGCCGCGGCGCGCACGCGCGGGGCTCTGCCGCGCGCGGGGCACCCTGGGAGGGGCGGTGCCTCCGCCCCGCCCCGGGGACGGACCGGGAATACCGGGAACAGCCAGGGATAGACCGGGAACAGCCAGGGATGGACCGGGAACAGCCAGGGATAGACCGGGAACAGCCAGGGATGGACCGGGAACAGCCAGGGATGGACCGGGAACAGCCAGGGAATACCGGGAACAGCCAGGGATAGACCGGGAACAGCCAGGGACGGACCGGGAACAGCCAGGGATAGACCGGGAACAGCCAGGGACGGACCGGGAACAGCCAGGGATAGACCGGGAACAGCCAGGGATGGACGGGGAACAGCCAGGGATGGACCGGGAACAGCCAGGGATGGACCGGGAACAGCCAGGGAATATCGGGAACAGCCAGGGATAGACCGGGAACAGCCAGGGAATACCGGGAACAGCCAGGGATGGACCGGGAACAGCCAGGGAATACCGGGAACAGCCAGGGACGGCCCGGGAACAGCCAGGGATGGATCTGGAACAGCCAGGGATGGACCGGGAATATCGGGAACAGTCAGGGATAGACCGGGAACAGCCAGGGATGGACCGGGAACAGCCAGGGATGGACCGGGAACAGCCAGGGATAGACCGGGAACAGCCAGGGATCGGGAACAGCCAGGGAATACCGGGAACAGCCAGGGATGGACCGGGAACAGCCAGGGATGGACCGGGAACAGCCAGGGATGGCCCGGGAACAGCCAGGGATGGACCAGGAACAGCCAGGGATGGACCGGGAACAGCCAGGGATGGACGGGGAATATCGGGAACAGCCAGGGATGGCCCAGGAACAGCCAGGGATAGACCGGGAACAGCCAGGGATGGACCGGGAACAGCCAGGGATGGCCCGGGAACAGCCAGGGATGGCCCGGGAACAGCCAGGGATAGACCGGGAACAGTCAGGGATGGACGGGGAACAGCCAGGGACGGGCCGGGAACAGCCAGGGATGGACCGGGAATATCGGGAACAGCCAGGGATAGACCGGGAACAGCCAGGGACGTCCGGGAATATCGGGAACAGCCAGGGATGGCCCGGGAACAGGCAGGGATAGACCGGGAACAGCCAGGGATGGACCGGGAACAGCCAGGGACGGATCGGGAATACCGGGAACACCCAGAGACTACCCGGGACCGCCCGTGTGCCATCCTCGGGGCCCAGAGCGCTGCAGAGCCCCGGAGAAGCCGCACGGTGTGCGGGCAATGCCGCAGGTGCGGGCCGTGCAGCAGCCCCTGCCCCCGGTACCTGCAGGGACCCCGCGGGAGGGCCCAGCCCGGGGCCGTCCCCCTGCCCTTCGCCTCCGCTCGCCTCGGCCCGGCCCGGCCCGCCCGGGGCAACCGCCGGACCCGCCTGGGCTGCCCCGCAGCGGCCCCTGGGCGGGATCTGCGCTGCGGGAGCTGCCCCGGCCCCTGCTGCGGGCTGCGTGTGCCCGAACCAACAGCGGCTGCAGGGATACAGTTTCCTAGCGGGGACGCTGTTGGAAGAAGACGACTTGTAAACCAAGAAGGAGAGACTCTTTGCATCACCGCAGCAGCTGCTCCGGCGTGCTGATCCCGCAGCATCCCCACGGGAGATGTTAAGGTAGTTCATTCTGTTACTAACACTTTGGCCATCGCACTCCTGTGTGCCTCTTTCCCATCAACACTTCCGCACGCACTCGGAAATACCATTTAAGAGAAAGACAGTGGTCTTAAATCATCATTTTATAACTAATGACAGGGCAGTGTCTTTGATGGGACCCTCCAAATAAAAAGTTTCCCCCTCTGATGGGGGATCCCCGCAGATTTGTGCTCCAGGCAGCAGACAGAGATTGGATTGCAGCTCTGTCCCTGCTGCCCTGCGGGGGGAACTGTAACTGAGCTGTACTTGAGCTGCTGCTCTGTGGTCTGAAACAGTGAATCACCCTTCATTTTCTAATTTTTTTTTCAGGATTTCCCACAAAACTGTACCAGGTGCCTCAGTGAATAACCCCCCCAATCTCACTGCACTGGTGGGAGCAAGTGAAGGGCTCTCAGTGCTCTCAGCTCCTCTCCAGTCCCAACTCCATCTGTTCATACCCTGTACAACCCTCTGGAGTCACCACACTCAGCTGCTCTGCCACCTTCTCTTTCCTCTCAGTGAAGGTCACATTTTTATTCAGGGTAGTTTTTCCCGGTTGTCCTTTAGGAGCAGGTTTGTGATGAATCAGAATAAACCGCTTTTAAACACATTAAATATAGGTTGCACCAGTTTAATTAGGATAAGTTGAAACGTCTCCTGAAATTAAACCAGTGCATATTTCTTCAGTAAAATGGCCAGTAAAATACTGAAAGCCCAAAGGTGTGGTCAGGACGTATGAGCAGGAGATAGGTGCAGTAAGTGCATGGGAAAGCACAGCAGTGGTTATGAAAGGCAGCATTAAATGTTCACAATAGGTCTATACATCAAAAATTTGCTTAGCAAATAAGTACCTGCTTTCGTGGAGTGCTACAGCTGAACTAAATTTGGGTCTCTAACAAATGTTTCTACCTGGAAATTTAATTAAAACATAGTGGATGCTGTGACTCAGTTTGCTATTGCACAAATAGAAAGAATAATTATTTAGGTTGGAAAAATATCAATCTATCCAATACTACTTTGTTATGAGTCACACATTTTCTTGATTTTATCAGAGCACATTTCATACCACCACTTGCCCTGATCCTGGACTTCATTTGCATACCACCATCTCCAGAATTTTCATAAGAGAATGGAAAACTATACATGTGATTCTGCAATTAGTACTGACTATGAAACAAATTTTAATGTCCGTTTTTTTGTGGCATTACACTGGGTGTTTCCATAAAAACCACCCTGGAGGAAACTTTATTGCTTTGTAACTTCAGAAGATAAAAGTCACCTTCCCACCAGAAGGAGAAAATGGCAAGTATTAAATTTTAACAGACATTTCTGGGTGGGAAATCTATAAAACATTAATTGGTATTTCTTCCCACTCACCTCTTCCAAATTGAACCATATAAACACACAGAGTAAGGAAGCATAATGGAATGTTCTATTTAACAAAACTTGATGTACAGTGACACACTGGACTGCTTTCAAGTCAAGAGGTGAGGACATACCTAAGAATGTCTATAAACTTGCTGCTAAAAGTGGTTTGGGGCTTGAGCTTTCACATAGAGAACGAGACTTCTAGTAAAGCACAGAATCTCTGTGAACTTTTGTATTCATTCTTCTACTACAAAATTGTTTTTCAAATATTCACGTTTCATCCCAGAAAACATTTCTGAACATATTTATTGCTCTTTCATTTTTCTAGGAATTATATACGTAAAGAATATTTTAAAAAAATAAAATCAAAGATAAAGAATGGTCTTTGAGGAAGTTAACTTCCAACTGTGCTTTTAAAATTGCCTGTGAAAGAAAATCCACCACAGAGCTTGTTGAGCTCTCTCCACTGCTAAACCCTGGGCCCTGTTTCCAGCCCAGGTTTGTCATTATTAACTCAGTACACAACAGGATCCCCCTGCCATGTTCAGCTGCACAGTGATAACAGGTCACAGAGACAAGCAGCTTCTTGTCTTTTAAAGAAGTGAAAATGCTTAGAAATGAACACTGTTTTCCTGGTTATGTGTTTCTTTCAAATATATAATTTCAGTGCCTTCAAATATACAGTTCAACTATCTTAAGTTTAAATTTAACATCGAGATGGTACCTACCAGGTTCAGATAAGATTTTGAGACAACTTCTTAAAATGAACTTATAGAACTCTTTACCTCTATTATTGGAGTTTACACTATAAAAATATTCCTTTAACTGCTGGTTTTAAATAAAAATTATAAATTCCAAAAATTGGAGAGCACAAAGATGACTAGAGAACAAGCAGCTGTCCTAGGAATAGCGTAGAACTGTTTAGGTTGAAAAAGACCTCTGAGATTCCCCCAGCACTGCCAAGGCCACCACAACCCCGTGTTCCCAAGTGCCACATCCACACATCTTTAAATCCCTCCAGGGATGGGGACTCCACCACTGGCTTGGGCAACCTGTTCCAACACCTGACCACCCTTTCCATGAAGAAATTTGTCCTTATTTCCAACCTGACCCTCCCCTGGCACAGTCTGAGGTCATTCCCTCTCCTCCTGTCCCTGTTCCCTGGGAGCAGAGCCCGACTCCCCCGGCTCCCCCCTCCTGTCAGGGAGTTGCGAGAGCCAGAAGGTACCCCCTGAGCCTCCTTTTCTGCAGGCTTTTCGTCCCCAGCTCCCTCAGCCACTCCTCATAAGATTTCTGCTGTAGACCCTTCACCAAACCCAGGTCAACTGCTTGGAAGGCAGAATATGTTTAAATTGAGTTTCATGTATCTCAGCTGCAGAGGAATTTCTTTTTCATATATGGCTTGTAGAAATTTTGAAGCTCTTGAAGTTACTCGTAAATACTTCTCTACTCACCTAGACAGGGCTTGATGGGGAGGCTCAGGAATAATTGAGATCAAGAAGGCTACAATGTAACCCTTAAGTTGTTTTTTTTTTTTTAATTCATTCTGGCCAACTTCTCTCTTCCAGAAACTTGCAAGTTGTTTCAGAAAAAGTGTCCAGCCTGCTCAGCCTCCAGAGGAGATACTGAGAAGGGGATCCCATCCATGTCTGTCCATGTGTGCAGGGAAGGGGCAGAGGATGGCCCAGGCTCTGCTGGGGGGGCCCAGCAATGGCACAAGAGGAACGGGCAGGAACTGATGCCCAGGAAGCTCCAGCTGGACGTGAGGAAGAACTTCTTTGCTGGGCAGTGACCCAGCCCTGAACAGAGACCAGAGAGGGTGTGGAGTCTCCTCACTGGGGATATTCCAGAACCATCTGGACACAATCCTGAGCCATGTGCTCTGGGATGACCCTGCTGGACCAGAATGACCCACTGTGGTCCCTTCCAACCTGACCCACTCCGTGATTCTATGAAAAATAAACTCTGACAGTTTTCCACTTGAATTCTCTCCTGAAATGCTCATTTACTGTGTCCTGAGCTCAAAGAAATGTCTATTTCTATTTCCTGTTCCAACCACATGAGCTTGGAACCCTAATTCTATAAATGGGAATCCTTCAACTCCACTTTTGAAAGGCAGATGAGGGAAGACTTAGGAAGTTGTTCTCCAGAAGCAAAGCCATGTGACTCTTTGGGGCAAACGGCTGTATTTCAAGGTATTCCTCTTCCCCTTCTCTGGGCTGTCATGTCAGAACCACCCTTCCTCCCTCCCTTCCTCTGGTTCTGTCCCCTCTCCATGAGCCAGGGCTGCCCTGTGACCTCCTCCAAAGCTGTTTTTTCCTTTCAAGCCCCACCCATATCTGATGCAGATACATCCTCCTCTGTGAGGAGGCAGGAAAACCAGAGCTGATCCTCCAGACTGTTTCCAGGCTCTCCACCTCCTCCAACATGTGTCATTTTGCCCTGGTTCAGAAGCAGCCACACCAGCCTCTTTCCTTGTTACAGAATATCGGTGTCTTTGTTACTTTTCTAAAGAGTAGCTTTACTTGACCTGAGTAGTAGTCTCCCGTGGACTTGATATGGTTTATCAGTCATTTACTGCAGACTTTGCTACAAAGTCTTTCAAGTAGTCCAGGACATGGTGAGAGCGATTACAGGAAATCTCCCCGGGCACTCAAATCCTCCGTGACTTTACAGTCAGTTCAACTTGGGCACAAAGTTCCCAGGACTCTATTCTGGCTCCCATTTAGAAACACGCAGGCCCTTTCTGGAAAAATCTGGCTTGTTATTGCGTTTCAAAGCCCTATTCCGAACAAAATACTTGCTGAATCTTTGCAACATATTAACGTCCAGTAGCTGCAACAAAAGCTATTAAGTCCCCTCTCCAGAGGTTGGTCCTTGTTGTGTTGTTTTCCAGGCTGTAAATACAAAAGGGGGGTCTGTACCATGTTTTAAGAGGCAAAGCTTCCAGCAGAAGCCTTATTTGTGTTTTTTATTTAAGATGTACAAATTGAGTGCAATCTCAAAATCGTGATTTTGCGTGTGTGTGTTTACCTGTACTAAAAGGGTAGTTTTTTTAGGATGAATTCCACTTTTTGGTCGAGATTTCATCCACAGGTGTGTTACTGTCGGCTGGCAAGATCTGACTCTCTCAACACCATCAGCAGAGTAAAACGGGATCCCTGTGAAACACAAACCCATGTTATCCCCACCTACACTCCTGCGGTTCTCCTCACGGCTGCGTCCTGAACTTGTACGAACGGCTTCTAAAATCACCGGGATTTGCCATTCCAGGTGGCTCGGACACGCCGAACCCCAAATCACCGAACCCGCCGGCACTGCCCGGAGCTCCCGGGACGGGGCCGGGGAGGGGGAACCCGGCGGGCGGCGGGGGCAGAGCCGGGCAGGGCAGAGCTGGGCTGGGCAGGGCCGGGCTGGGCAGGGCTGGGCTGGGCAGGGCCGGTCAGTGCCGCTCCTCCCGGCCCCGCCACCACCCCGCTCCGCCGGTGCCCGTCCGGTCCGGTCCGGTCTGTTCGGTAACAGTCTGTCCAGTCCAGTCCAGTCCGGTCCGGTTCGGTCTGTTTGGTGACAGTCAGTCTAGTCCGGTGCGGTCGGTGTCAGTCAGTCCAGTTCAGTCCAGTTCGATCCAGTTCGGTGCGGTCGGTGTCAGTCAGTCCAGTTCAGTCTGGTGCGGTGCGGTCGGTATCAGTCAGTCCAGTTCAGTTCAGTCCGGTGCGGTGTGGTGCGGTGGGTGTCAGTCAGTCCAGTTCAGTCTGGTGCGGTGCGGTGGGTATCAGTCAGTCCAGTTCAGTCCGGTGCGGTGTCAGTTGTTATAAATTGAAACCACAATGGATCAAGATACCAATTGAAATTTATTGATTACTTGGTTACAGCAAGTAGAATATGAGCAAATGCAGCGCTGGGCGACAGGGGAGTCTCCGCTCCGCCAACTGCCGCGCCTTATCGTGTCGGAAAGTCTCTTCTTATAGTCTCTTAGTTCCGTTTTCCTTGACATGGCGTTAGCACTCTGCGCATGTTGGGCTGTTACTAAGGGGTCTTTTCTGCCTCCCGGTGGTCGTAGAGGCTGAAGTAAGACGTCTTCCTCAGGTGTCCTTTTCTTGCCCTTTTGTTCTGTCAGCAACTGTTTTCCTTATCTGGGCTGACCTTGCAGTTCTTAAAGCATGTGGCAACCTTATACCTTACATCGGCATTTGTATAGTTCCTTGCGGTTTAACATTTGCTCTAGTTTATCTATTTAAGCAGGACATCCTGTTTGATAAACAATACCACCCGCCATGGTCTATCACATCAGTCAGTCCAGTCCAGTTCAGTCCGGTCCGGTGCGGTGGTCAGTGCCAGTCAGTCCAGTTCAGTCCGGTGCGGTGGGGCGCGGTGCGGTGCGGTGGGTGTCAGTCAGTCCAGTCCAGTTCAGTGCGGTGCGGTGCGGTGCGGTGGGTGTCAGTCAGTCCAGTCCAGTTCAGTCCAGTCCAGTTCAGTGCGGTGCGGTGCGGCGCGGTGCGGTGCGGTGGGTGTCAGTCAGTCCAGTTCAGTTCAGTCCGGTCCGGTGCGGTGGGGCGCGGTGCGGTGGGTGTCAGTCAGCCCAGTTCAGCCGGTCCCGGCGGTGCGGTGCGGTGAGTGCCAGTCCAGTCCAGTTCAGTTCGGTCCGGTGCGGTGGGGCGCGGTGCGGTGAGTGCCAGTCCAGTCCAGTTCAGTTCAGTCCGGTGCGGTGGGTGTCAGTCAGTCCAGTTCAGTTCGGTGCGGTGGGTGTCAGTCAGCCCAGTCCGGCCGGTCCCGGCGGTGCCGCCGCTCGGTCCGCTCCTCTCCCGCTCGGCCCCAATGGCCGCCCCGCCCGGCTCGGCGCGGCCCCGCGCGGCGCTCTCGCGAGAAGTGCGCGGTCCCGGCATGCCCGCGGCGGGCCGTGCGGGGGGGCGGGCGAGGCGCAGGCGGCCATGTTGGGAGCCGCGGGGCGCGGGCCGTGCTGAGGCTCCGGCGGGGCCGCGCTGGGCGCTGCGCGGGGAGCGGCGCTCGGGAACGGGGGAGCAGCGCCTGCCGCGCCTCTGCGCCGCGCTCGCTGGGCGGCCGGGGCCCGGCTGGGGGAGCGCTTGGCGCGGGGGGAGGAGGAGGAGGAGGAGGAAGAGGAGGAGGAAGGGTGTCCCTGACCGAGGAGCAGCGCCATGAGCGGGGGGACGCCCTACATCGGGAGCAAGATCAGCCTCATCTCCAAGGCCGAGATCCGCTATGAGGGGATCCTGTACACCATCGACACCGAGAACTCCACGGTGGCCCTGGCCAAGGGTAAGGCCGCGGGCGGGACCGGGGGCGGCCGGGGCTGAGGGGCTGCTCGGAGCCCTCCTCGTCCCGCCGGGGCGGCTGCGGTGCAGAGGAGCGAGGGGCTGGGCAAGAACGGCGGCCCCGCTCCCCCCGGGCCCCGCGGAGCAGCCGGGAGCGGGGCCGGGCCAGCGCCGGGCCGAGGGTCCCGGGCGGAGCGCGGGGACGAAGCTCTCGGCAGTGGAAGCGCTCCAGAGTTAGTGCGTAAAAGGGACGAGGAGGGGGAGGCTGCGAAGGGGTTTTCTCTGTGTCGTAAGGATTCCAGACCGGCAGGGTTCCAGGGCCGCGCACGGCGGGGCTGTGCCTCACCCTGGGACAGCCGGGGCCGGAGGGGATCCCGGGCGCTGGGCTGTGGGCACGGGAGCTGAGCCTGAGCTCTCGGTTTGGGAGGGATCTCTGGGGCGCTGCATGGCTCGAAATGCTGTGAGAGCGTATCGGCCAGAAAATATATGTGTACATGTATATAGGTACCTATAAGAAAGTTAGAAAGACGTGTTTGCTGAGATCAGAGTTGGGAAGAAAAGAAAAAGAGGATCTTTGAAACTGGGCGTCCGAAGGATTTCGGTGTTTCTCGAGCGTGATAATGCACTCTCAACATAAAACATCGCGTCAGAACTGTTAGTCAGAACCTCTTTGTAATGGATTCTGCAAAACTCAGTAGTGTTTCACTTTATACTTCTTGCTTCTGCAAAGTTTTGCTAAATCATCTAAATGCACATAGAGAAGCGGAGGATTTACCCGGCTGTAGTATAAATGAAATATTTTGGCCGGGGCCGATAGGAAAGGCTGAACGGCGGTCTGTTTGACACGGCTGGCTGATACCGTGTGGGGCGTTTGCTTTCACTGGCCTTTGTGGGAATTCTCGGTTGTGTGCTGTGGTAGTTTAAGGCCTCCTCCCCCCCCTCATTGTTTAAGAAATAGATTTGTTTTGTAAATTCTGATACGTGGGCTTTGGAACACCTTACAGTAAGCTTGGTCCTTGCATTTCATTTATGAGGCACTTAGATTTTATTGTGTGACTTGTATTTGTTCCTGAAGTTGCCTTTGGGTTAAATTATCTTGCTGGAGTCTCATTATCTACTTTAAGAGGACAGCTGGTATTGGTTTATGTGAGAAAAAGATGAACCCTGTGATTAAAAATAAGTGTTGAGGGATTCCAGTTGCACGCTGTGATTGTTAAGGTTTTTGCAAAAGAACTTGGAAAAATAATTCCATCCTCGAGGACCTTGTGATAGCCTTGTCCAAAATTAGACTGATGTAGTGCTGACCAAGCCAATTTTGCATGACTTCTCAAGAGTGGTTAAGTCATGTTGTGGCGTATCTGCCAAAGTGTACGTATTTAAGACAGATCAAACTACAGTTACAAGTCTAATCTGCTCTCTTCCCATAGCTCTCATCTCAAATGTAAATCCAAACCATTACATTTGCTTTAATAAAACTTGGCTGAGTGAGCTGAAGAATGTGTGTTTTGTAATATAGCATCGTGATTCAGAAGAGAATAAACCAGTATTTCTGGGCCCCATGGAACTAAAAATCTGAGATTAATCTGGAGCTGATAACAACCACATTAGACTGTGGAACAGTCTGCTGTGCTCATGAGCAGAATGCTCAGCTCTGGAATATTGGAGGAATATTGAATATTCTGAAAGCTCAGGTCATTGAATGGCTGTGACAGGGTCTGTAGGGTGGCAAGGGTGCTTAACCATGGCCAGGTCTGTGTGTGAAAGCAGCAGAACTTCCTCTGCAGCTGTGAATAGTTCCCTCTTCTTCCTGTGCTCAGTCCAGAAGTCAAACTAGAACTGTTTAATGTGGATCTTTATCACAAATGTCAAACTTTCCACCAGAAAGAGACAAAAAAAAGCCCCAAAAGACGACTTGATGCTTTCACTTGCTCAGCTGTGTAGACTGGCATGTTGCTGTTACCTGGACTGAATGCAGGACAGCTTATCATTATTCATATCCTAAATTAATTCACTGAAAATCGTGACATAAAGTGCAAAAGTAGAGGTAGAATCTGTTCTTGCATAACTGCAGGTTCACCCAGCAGTAGGATTTGTGTGAGCTAAACTCAAGTCAGAGATTAATCTCATGAAGTTGTGCTCGTGGAATGCCCTCATTTATCTTAAATTGTCTGGGGTTTCAGACAGAAATAAGATCTTTGGGTTGCCAGCAGGGCCTGTAGTTCTCCCTCACTGAGGGCAGTCTGCTCTCCTTCCCTCATCAGCATTTTGTTTACCAGGCTGGGATCTTTCACTGAGCAAAACTTGGGGCCTGTGTCCCTTGAGTTAGAGAGCAGCTGTTAAACACTGAGCATAACACTTCTGTCCTGCCCCAGAGTCTGAGCAGGGAAATCCATGCATCCTCTCCCCAAATGTTGCAGTGTGTGGTTATTTAAACAGCAGGGAAAACGCCCAGGCACACTGGATTCCAGGCATTGAGCAAGCTATGCAAGTATTTGAGGTTCTTAAATAATATTGGCGCATATGTTTGCTTTGGATTGCCAGCTTTTCAGAGGCAGTGTCTGCAACCAAACCACTCAACTCCTATTGTCAAACCTCAGTTAAATTAACTTGAAATGTCTTTCCAGTTCATGGTTCTAATTAATACTTCTTTCTTTCAAAAAAAGCATTATTAATTTTTTAAAATATCATTAAGTCCAACCAGTTTAAGAAGGGAGTTTGCAAACCATGGTTAGTTTTCTTGTTGGAAAGTGCTGCCCTACCTGGGGCAGTTAAGAATGACTGTGGTGCTTGATCTGAAATGTGGCAATAAAAATGAGGTGTGATCTTTCATACTGTAATATTTTTCAATTTCAAAGGACTGATTTGGAGAGAGTGATTTTTAGTGCAGGTAAGCTGTGTAAGAATATCCATGTTGGGTTGGGAAAAGCTTTGTTCCTTTCAACAATAGGGAATCCTTAGGCATGAGAGTATAAGAAACAGGACATTATATGTTGTCTCTCTGGTATAACACACCAGTTGTCACTTTTCAGCTGTTGCACCATTGAGGGTTACATTTGGAACAATTATAATTGATAAACATTAATGAAATAGCTTTTGGTGAATTAACAAGTAGTTAAACTTCTGGTATTTCTGGCATTTTCAACCATCTGTGGTAGTGTTTTCCATGGTATAATGACACATCAAAAGGAAAACTTTCCTTTTAGACTTTTACACAGTATTAGTTGTAGGTGAAAGAGTCAGAAATGTAGACAGAAGAAAGTTAAATTCTTGTGAAGACCTGAGCTGCTTTTTATCATTTGGGGGGGGGAGGGGGAAAGGGAAGAGTTACATTTTTATCATGTTTTTATAAATTGCTCCTTTAGTCAGTGAAGTGTCATGCTCCCTGCATGTTTGGAGGTTTAGTGCACGTGTGCCCAACCAAACCTGTGCATGGTGTGTCCCAGCAGAACAATTCCTCTGGTCAAAGCCCCGTCCTGGCTGTGCCCTCACGTCCATGTCCTGTAAACGCAGCACCCCGGCAGGAAGGGAACGCGGGCTGAACTGATTGTTCCTGTTCACACTCCTGCACTGGGGTGTGCAGGGATCAGAGGGGATCCCAGGGGAGGGCTTGGGATGTTGGGAGGAGAGATGGCAATGGGAATGACTTGTTCACATGTGGTGGTCTCAGTTGTCCTGCTTCCCCTGGGTTCCTCAGGAGTGGGGGGAGCTGTTTCTGTGTGCATTTGCTGCCCAGGGAGGGAGGGGAGCACAGTGAGTCAGTGATGTGCACAGAGAGTGAAATAATTCACATTATATGGGAACAGGGTCCTCTTGCTAGCAGAGTGAATAGCTTGGCTTTTGAAGAACGTTCTGCTTAAATCCCCTGTGTGAATCAGCAAGTAATCATGTCTGCTAAGTGATAGGGTAAGGTGCAATGTTGCCATTGAATTCTACAGTAGTGTGATGTGGCAATATACATTAAAATATAGCAGTGACATAGTCAAAATCTGTACAAAAACTTGCTCCCAGCACTTGCATATGAAATTGGTGGAAGTACTTGGGTTCAAGTACATACATGAATCCTGTTGGGCTTAACAGGGTGAGCTTCTTTCTAACTAGCTACATAATTGTGTTTACACTGATAAAAAATAAGTTTGCTTTTAACGTGGTCTGGTTGCCTATTTGTTTGCAAGTCCCTAAACCAGTTTAACTCTTTAAAAAACCAAAGACCAAACCTGAACTTGCCAAGGTGAGGCTACTGGTTTTGCCACCGTTCTGGGGTGAGCTGTAAGATTGTGTTGCCTTTCACAGGCTTGTTTTCATTTTCTCTCACTCTTCAGTATTTTGCTGTAGATGAACCACTGAGCCTTGTTCTGGAGGAAGGAGGGAGAATGAGGGAATACCCCCAGAGAGGGGGCTAAGAGAGAGCTCCAAGCCTGCTGCTCTTCCGAAATCTTGTGATCTTGATACTTAGTATTTCTAATTATGCAAAACCATGGTGAAAGCTGTTTCTTTCTAAAATGCTGTTGTACTGACCACCTTAATATTAGAGTTTTTACTTTAATGGGCTCAGATTATGCTAAATCCTAATCCAAGCTGGGGAAGGAGAAACTGTAAAGGTAGGTAAGCCTTTGGAAAATACTAAAGTAGCTTTCAACTGCTTGTGTTATACTGCTCTCTGAAGGGCCTGATTGGGGTAGACCCTGCAAAAGCATCGAGCAGCCCTTTTTTAGATCACTGCCCATGACGTCCTGGTTCCTGCTTTAGAAGGAAATCAGACTTAGGGTGGTTATTTTTGTTGCTTGGAGTGGGAAGGCAAGGCTGAATTGCCAGTCAGGGGAGTTTGCTCACCCCTCTCCAGCAGAGCAGATCTTCAGTGGATGAAACTGGGTTTGTATTTTGCAGAAAGTTGTACAAAATGGCTGCTAGAGAAACCAGAGAGAAACAACAGAAAATCAGCTTTAGTTTTACTTGCCAAGACAGCAGGTCAAATGCTGGAATGAAAGTCCAAGTTAATTTATTAGTTATCGAATAAATAGAGTATAGGATGGCCAGAGAGGGAGGGTGGATCCATGGTCAGGACAGTGAAATGGAAAAGCTTGATGAATAGAAGCAATGGAATGAAGTGTAGTAATGCACATGACCAATTGATAATGTTATTAAGCATTACCTGGAGTTAATTTCTGCAAATTAAGTTTCAGATATCTTTTTCTGTAGAGGAAAAAGAGGAGACAGATTTCTCTTGTGACAAGTATTGACTTTCACTTAACAGAATGTGCCTTTTTGCAGCAGTTACATTTTACAGGACCATTCAGAGGAAACTTTCAGATGCACAGAAATAGAAAAGTTGATTAAAGTCAGCTCAGTAGATGACACAAGAATGAACAAAACAATTGTAGCCACTTAATGTTATTATTTTTCCTTGTAGTGTGGGCATGATCTTTTTACCCCTTAATTTTGCTTCTCAAAAGTGTTTGTAGTACTTGACTGTTAAACTCTGTTTATGCAGCATTACAAGAAGCAACAGTGATGGAAAATGGTTGGTGCAGCCTGAGAAATGACTCAGTGTCACTTCATACAGCTCTTGACTAATGGTTTTATGGCTGCAAATAAGTGCCTAGTGATGTCTCCAAAATGTTGATTCATCTGAAAATGAGGGAAATCTAATTCTGGTAAATTAAAGCAAAATACAGATTTTTCTCAGCATTATCTCTGGTACCTTACAAAGCAAACACTGTCTAAAAGGCTGGAGCAAAAACAGTCATGAGAGATTGTTAAAGCTGCTGCAAGTTGATGAGATTGTGAATGTCATTGTCATAATTTTGGGGTTTGGGGGTTTTTTGTCCGTGGTTTCAATCCATTGTTCGGTTTTTGCTTACAAAACTCTGGCTCTTGAAGACATATCTCTTCAGCTGACTTTTTTGTTTCTCTTGATACTCACCCAGGGTTTTAAGGTGAGGAAGGCAGTGACAGTAAAGTGACAGTAATGGTGATTTTCTGTAGTGCAAAAAGAGGAGCTTGATAAACTTCATTGCTGTGCAATTGGAAAACTGTTGGAATTCAGCTAAGTACATACAAATAATCCAGTGTCTTGGCATGCTGCACCCTGTGCAGGCCTCCTTAGGAAGATAGTTATGCCCCAGTGAGTTTGCTTCATTTGACAGAGATCATATGAGCCTTACACCGGCAAGGGAATGCGTTTTGCTCAGTGAAAATTGTACATACATACCACAGAATTCCTGTTGTTTTATTAAATCTTTATTTAGCCCTTGGATATACTGAGAAATACTTCACTTTGAATAACTTCTAATATTCTAGTTTCTGGTAGTATTAATGTATTTTTTCCTTGATTTGCAAGTACAGAGTATGAACTATGTAAACTCATGTATTCCTTGATTCATAGGACTGACTTACCAGCCAAAAAAAACTGCCTTGCTGTTTCCCCTTACCCTCACAAAACAGTTGAAATAATCAACATGTAAGTGATAGCATAAGTGATGTCTCGGTCTTTCTGCTTGGTTTTTAACCGAAATTTTCAAGATCAAATTACTGAGGAGTCAATAATGATAAAGAATATGCTGCCTATTTAATAAGGGTTTTTTCCTCACCAAAATTTTATTCTGGTTGTTTCAAGCTGTTGGTCTCTGCAGTGTGTCTGAAAGTTGTTTCAAATGTGGGCTGTTTTGATTGTTCCCTGTGTCCCCAACGTTGCAGTTCGCTCCTTTGGCACAGAGGACAGACCGACAGACAGGCCCATCCCCCCTCGCGATGAGGTCTTCGAGTACATCATATTCCGTGGCAGTGACATCAAAGACCTGACTGTGTGTGAGCCACCAAAGCCTCAGTGCTCTTTGCCACAGGACCCTGCCATTGTTCAGGTGAGTCACAACATCTTCTCAGGTGTAGCCTGGTAGCTTTCAGTGCTCTCCGGCTGAGTGTTTAAAAATGTTTATCGCTCTCAAGTTCTCACAACCCAGCGTAAAGAACTCTGGGAAGATGTGCCTCGTTGGAATCATGTCTTTAACAGTGGAATTGGAGGTTGAAACCTAGCTCTAGCACAGTGCACTGGATTCCAAAGCTGCTGTTTTTTTCAGAAACAATTTTTTGTAGATCTTGATGCCTTTTTTGAAAGGGACTTGGCTTAAGAGGACATGTATGCAGGAGTTCTTGGAAAGATCAGACTTGGTAAAGGTCAGATGGAATAGATGCTGAAACCTCTCCAAATCACTAGTGATTTTTGCTTGTTTGTTTTTTGATTCTAGTGTTCAGCTTCTTTTGCTGACTGACTTAAGTGCTTCATCTGGCTATGTGTTTTTATGCAGGCTTCATACAAAGGGGCAGTTATTTGAAAAGGGAATACTTGATAGATGAAGGGAAAGCAGCTTACAGCTTGAAGCCTTCAGGATTAATCAGCTTGTTGTTTCGTAGTAGATGGACTGGCAGAAATAGTTATTTTTCATTTTGGAAATCTGTTGACTTATTGATTGTGCTTATTGAGTATCTTAAATCATCCCTGAGAGCAAGAGGGAAACTCTTGCTTCAAATGGAACTTGATAATTCCATGTAAATGTTCATGATTCTAATGTTTTAACTATTCTGTAGGATAGAATTCTTGATCCTTCCATGTGAGGAAGGGCTTTTGTTCTTCTTTTAAGAGATTTTGCTGAATTTGGTGCAACCCCTCTTGTCAGTGGTAGTTGAGAGCTGTGAAGTTGCATTACTGCCAACCCCAATAGTAGTGATAACCCCACCGTCCTCAAATATGTTTGGGTCTTTTATTGTTCCTGTGGGCTTTGAAACTTCAAGGAAAAAGGTAAACACTTTCCAATTTTGCTAACAAAGCTTATTTGTGTGTTTGACAACAGAGGTTCATGGGAAAAGGTTGCAAAATTTCATGGCATTGTTTTCTCAGGTCTGTGGTGGTGGAAGGGTAAAAGCGCTTTCTTAACCATGTACATACCTGTGAAAACGCTTGTTAGAGTCTCTCCCTTTCTGGCCCTGCAGAACTGTTTGCTGGGTTTTGTGTCAACGTGCCTCTTTGCTAGCTGCTGTGTTTGTGTTCAGTCCTCTCTAGGGTCCTCGAGCAGCTCGTCGTTCCAGTCGGTGGGCTCGTACGGCCCCTTTGGCAGGATGCCGGCCTACAGCCAGTTCAGCCCCAGCCCGCTCGTGAGCCAGCAGTTCGGGGCTGTGGGAGTCGGTACGTGGGGCTGGGGGACTTGGCTTTGCCTTCCTGGCTCTGCTCACACGGCAGGCAGGGCTCAGAATTTCAGCAGTGTCTTATCCCGGGGCAGATTAAAACTCTTCAGTCTGTATCAGTCCTGCAGTTTAGCTCAAAGGTACACAGGTTTTCATAGGCTTTGCAGCTCAAATCAAAGCAATTCTGATTGAGAATTAAACACCTATCTCAGAGGGACAAGTGGGGAAAGGTTCCTCTGCTCAGTAATTCATTCTATTTTGTATATATTCATCACATTCATCTTGTGGTCATGATATTTCCCAAGGGACAGAAGCAGCCCCTCCACAAAAGCCCCATCCATAACTGTGCTGTGACACCTTAACTGAGGGTTTGGATGATTCAGCACAGCCCTCCAGCTGTTAAAGGTGTTAGTTGGGTGTGAAATACCTGCTTGAAGTGTTTGTGAGCTGCATTGGCTGGTGGCTCCTTTATATTCCAGGTGCCCTCTGAGACTTAACAACAAACTTTCCTTCCTGAGAGTTTTGTATTTCACATTTTAGTCTTTCACACAGGAACTTACAGTCTTGTAAGTGTTATGGCAGAGTGTTACTCCTGGTACTGAAAATGTTAGCCATGTGAAGGGAAGGCTGTAGAATTGGCTGTAATTTGATATCAATTAATGAGATGTTTAAGTGGAAATATAGCAATACCATCTATTGCTCAGTAAGATGCTCTCATGACTATGTTTTGTTAATACTTGTGATGCTGAAGTTAAAAGAGCTCTTTTCTTTTTTATATTAGATTAAAACAATCAAGATATTACAGCCTTACCCACTTACTGCACTTAGATATGTTAGATAAAACCAGAAGTGTATGGGAAGGACAGACTTTTGTGTATTCTAGAGTAACTGTCTAATATGGTTTTACAAATCAGTACTAATTTAAAAATAATGAAATAAAGCCTCAATCAGGTTTTACAACTATATTATTTTTTCCAAAGCAGGAGGTTCTTTAACATCTTTTGGAACAGACTCTTCAGCCAGTGCCAGCATGTCCCAAAGCACTGCAGTTGGTTCTGCATTTACAACAGATGCAAGATCTCTAAAAACACAGATGTCTCAAGGTAAAATCTATTTTAGTAACTTTGCTCTTTTTTGACCAGTGGTGCCCCCTTGGCATAGGTGGTTACCAGAAATGCCAACAAAAGAGCTGAATTCCGTCACAAAAACACTAAAAAAAAAGGCATTAAGAGGCTTTGTATTTGCTTTTTAAATGTGTTTTTTTACATCTCGGAGTGCTGCATAGGTAGCAAGACATTTGTTGTTATCCTTAAAGCATCTGTACTGAGGACTAGGACTTATTTAAGGGGAATAATGTTAGCAAATAGAGGCATGTGGAAATTCAGTATCTAGTTTTGTTGATAACATAACAAAACTCAGGATACTTCATGCTGATTGAGATGTGAAGTGCTTCAGCTTACGATTTTGAAATCTTTGTTCCTAACTGTGGCTTTTGTAGCAGCAGACCTGACTGCCTGGAGAGATGCTGACATGACTCAGGTCAGCTTAATAGGAACAAACTGTGTGGGTAGACTGTGTAATTCTGGAAAAAGAAAGTAGAAGCAAAAAGGAAATTTGTGATGATTTTTGAGTAGCTAAGAAAAAAAACCTACCTAACTAAACATTGAGCACCTTCACCCTCGCCTTTCATGTGAATGTGTTAAGATGGCTCTTCAAAATAAAACACCTGCTCTTCCACTCCTCACTGCTGTGTGTTAAAGTGTGTGATATACCCCTAATGCTATTTTTAAATGATGCAGTCGTGTTAAAAGTCAAAACACTTCATGGCAAACAGGTTTTTTTCCAAAGTTTCAACTGAGATTTGTATACCCATCAGGAATTTCTAGGACTCGTTGAGTGTGTTGCCAAAAATAGGTTCTATTTGTTGGATTAATTGAAGGGGAGGAATGTATGCTGAGCATTTCTCTGTTGAAAAACTAGCTTGGTTTGCTGTAGTTGAAGTTAAAAGCTGTGTGATTCTTGGACTTAATATGTGGCATATGCTCCAGATGAACATATATTCTGCCACAAAATGTCTTGTGGGGCATCAAAAGGTTTTTTCTCTGTTTGCTTTAAAAAATATTTTTCCTCTTTGTAGGTTACAAGTGTGGTATGATTGCTTTTATTGGTTGAGTTTGGGTTTTTGTTTTGTTTTGTTGGGGATTTTCTGTGGTTTTGATTTGGTTTTGTTTTTCTTTTGTTGAGCTTTTGTTATGAGATACAACTTCTACTTCCTGGGACTTGAGTCCTATTCTAATTTCTCAGTAGATTTACCTGTTTGATGTTGTGAAGTTGCCTGGCTGGATCAAATGGCTCCGTTCTGAACACGCTTCTGCCCCCAGCCACTCGTGCTGCAAATGGCCATGTGTGAGCAGCAACCAGAGCTCCCTCACCTGCAGAGTCCTGGCACCAGCCAGCCCTGGCTTGGCAGGGATAACACAGCAGTGCCCTACAGCACATGGATTTCAGGGTTGGAGCTGTGTCTCTGCCTTTGGGAGCAGCCACTTCCCACTTGCCTTCCCGGGGAGGCAGAAGGTGTATTTTTACCTCCAATCAATGTGGAAAATTTCATTCCACAGCTAAATGCACATCCTGGGTGGGTTGGTAGGGATTAATTGTCCCACCTATTTTTTTCTTTTAGGCTAGGGGAGGGGGTATTGCTAAATATCCTTCATTCTGGATTAGTGGATGTGAGGGTGCAGAAATATTTATTTCTTTGGACACACCTGGGAAGGTCTGGATTGGTTGAGACCAGTAACTCACATTTGTGCCTGGGAAATAGCTCAGTGGCTTTGGTTTTATTTTGGCCCAGGTCGTTCAAGCCCTCAGATGGATCACTTGAGAAGGAGCCCCACCATGGAACAAGCAGTCCAAACAGCTTCAGCCCACTTGCCCACCCCGGCACCAGTGGGGAGGAGGAGTCCTGTCCCAACCAGGCCTTTGGTGTCTGCTGGCCAGAAATCCTTGGAGAACCCAGAGCACCGACGAGGTAGCTTTGGATGATTTTCACACAGCTTGTTTCCTTCCATGCACATAGGAAGTGCTCTTTTGAAGGGCAACACAGAGGAATTTTCCTGATGTCTCTTACTGGTACACTGGCCAGCAGAGACCTGGATTAGATATATATTCCTTTTTAAAGTCAAGCATATATTCTAAATTTTTTTTTTCTTTTGTGATTGTAAACTTGTGGTTTACCTTTATAGGTTTGGATTTTTTTTTTTTTTAAATCTGAACTATATATACGAAAGCATGGTCAAAAATACCTAATTGGATAAACAAATCATTTTTTTATTTCCAACTTTAGCTGAAGCACACAAGGTTTCAAGATCAGAAAATGAACTCAGAAATGAAAACAAACGACAAATTGGTAAATCTTGTTTTGAGAAATAGCTATCGTTGTTTTCAGACTTCATTATTTTTTTAAAATCTGCTAAAATACATAAATTCTTTCACATTTTGTTTCTAGTGGGTAACAGCTTTGCATTGTGTCTGAATAATACAAGCACATAAAGTCATCATGAAAGAGAGAATCTCTTCTGGTTGCTCTAAATTAAGCAATTGGAATAAAAATGTAAACCAAGCAGTATTCATGGATTTATAAACACAATAGCATGAAAGAAAGCCTGTTACCTTTCTACAAAAATCCTTGACTGAAAAGCCACTAACATTTTAACTCTTCTTTAAAAAAGAAAAAGCTTTTAATGACTTCTAAAAAGTCATTCAGTACTATTATGTCTTCTGTGTCACTGCCATCATTGCTGTAAGTGAATTTACAAATTGCAAGCTGCTCTGATGGGACTTTTAACAACAGAAGTGCAGGAAGAGGATGCATGAAGTCCCAACCTGTTACCCCAGGAATCAGAGAGCAAAACAAAAAAACAAACAACCACCCTTCACCACCCTCAAATAAAAAGCAATGCCCAAAACAAACCCGAAGAGAACGTCCCTCTTTTCAGTTCCAGGGGCACCTTCAGCACGGAGAGGCCGCGGAGGCCACAGGGGGGGCCGAGGACGGTTCGGCATTAGGAGGGATGGCCCAATGAAGTTTGAGAAGGACTTCGACTTTGAAAGTGCAAATGCACAATTCAACAAGGAGGAAATTGATAGAGAGTTTCATAATAAACTTAAATTAAAAGGTAAACCAATTTTTCCTTTGTGTTTGAGCATGGAAAAACTGTGTCTTTACTGTTTTAATTCTGCCTTGGAGAACAACTTTTAAAAGGCATTATCCTATTCAGTCTTGTTTGCAGTTGTAAAAAGCTTATTAATAAGTAAACTGGGATCATCTATTAATTAAATAAATGCTTGGGTCAATGTTTGACTTTTGAAGTAATTTTAATTAGCAAATGTCATATGTCAAGTTCTAACAAGTCTGTTTGTTTAAAATGCAGATTACGTGAGCAGAAGCTCCAATAATGTTTGTTTCTTTAAAGTTCTGGAAAGGATGGAATAAAAGAAACCCCATGTTTTATGTTTTCAATTATTAGACAAAAATTAAAATATCGATTATAGTCCAAAAGCAATGGGAAAAACATGAGTTTGGGATCAGAACTTTGTTGTAGTATGCAGGAGAGTTTGTTTGAAAGTATCCAGCATTTTCTTGCTTTTATCCTTTTCCAAAGGAACACAGGAGTAGTTAGAAACCATTCTGCCAGCACTTGTTTTTTAGCAGGCTTCTGTTTGGATTACCTCATTCTCTTGTGACCAGCCACCTGTTTGTTACTCTGCTGCTCCTATTTTTGGACAAAACTGTTACAGGTTAATACAGGGAGTTCCTATTCAGTAAATGGCTGGCTAAAAGCTGGGAAACAAAAGGTAGGAATAAATGGTCAGATGTCAGTGTAGAGTAGGAACACCAGCAGAGTCCCATAGGATCTGTCCTCTGGTGCTTGCCTCTTTTTCTGGATCATTTCTAAATGAGTTGATAGTTTGCTGTTCATACTGGGGATGAACAAAACCGTGGAGTGGCTTTTATTAGGATTGACTGAGTGAGACTCTTAAGTCTGGGAAGGAGTTAGTGAAGAGGGTAGAAAATAGAGCTGTCAAATCCCTGCTGTCACAGGTGTTTTTGTTAACTAAAACCCCAGAAAATATGGAGAACATCAAACCCCTAGACAGCAGCAAAAACATCCTAATTTATGTGTCAAATTACTTGATTTCTGCATTAAATTATGGAGAGGTTTTTGTAATTTTGAGCATTCGGTATAGCTTCTGTCTGGGAATAAGTTAACAGTGCTGGTGTTTTTAGGCTTCTGTTTACTTTTTATTTTGTAGAAGATAAACTTGAGAAACCAGAGAAGCCTGTAAATGGAGAAGACAAAGGTGACTCAGGTGTTGATACCCAAAACAGCGAAGGGAATGCCGATGAAGAGGATCCACTTGGACCCAACTGCTACTATGACAAAACCAAATCCTTCTTTGATAACATTTCCTGTGATGACAATAGGTACGGCCTGCAAGGGGAAGCTTGTTAGTCTGCTTAATGCATGTTTGCCAGAAGGTACTTTCAGTGCTACTCGTTACAATCAGCTCTGAATCGAAAGTGATTAGAGCTCATTTCCACATGCAGTGGGCAAAAAGAAAACAGGAACACAGAGCACAGCAGTTTGTGGGCAAGTGCAATATGTTAATAGGAAGATATTTTAAGGTGTTTTAGAGCCACGCTTTTGGAACTTAATTCACAGGCTCTAGAATCTCCTTTCCAGATTTACTAAGGGGGGTGGGGTGGGTTGCTTGTTTTGCTTTGCTACTAAATTAACACTTGAGTTAAATCAATTATGGCCCTGCTTTAATGGTTCCTAAGCCGATTACGTAACTGTCGCTGCCGGTGGTGTTGTTGGAATGGGCAGATAGCGTCCCAGGAAAATTAAAGCTTATCTTTGGCTGCTGCCTTTTTATGAGACGTGAGGATGTGGATTGCTGACCTATTTTGAATTACAGGAGGGGGAGGGGAATTGTTGTGTTCACAGCCAGATACAGTAACATCTGTAACTACCAACTGTTTTCTTGCTTTAAACGATTCTGCATGAGGAGGATACAGAGTGTGCTCTTCTGTGTGGGAAACTCAGCACTGTTAATACCCAGTTAATGGCACTGGAACGCTTCCCTTTTTGACGAGTTAATGAACTGTGGCAGACACCTGGATTCTTGCAGAGAGGAGAGATTTACGGCGTGGTTAATGTATCGTTTATCAGTTCCCGGGCTCTCTGGCGGCTCTCAGTGTTCTCCCGAGGCGTTTGGCAGCAATCCTGTCCCTTTTGTGTGGCAGGGAACGGCGACCCACCTGGGCCGAGGAGAGGAGGTTGAACGCGGAGACCTTCGGCATCCCCCTGCGCCCCAACCGCGGCCGCGGCGGCTACCGGGGCAGGGGCGTCATCGGCTTCCGAGGTGGGAGGGGACGAGGAGGAGGAGGAGGAGGAGGAAGAGGCTCCTTCCCTGCCCCCCGAGGCTTCCGCGGTGGATTCAGAGGAGGTCGTGGAGGCAGGGAGTTTGCTGACTTTGAATATAGGGTAAAATGCCTTTAATGTTACTATGACCCGATCCACTGGGCTTGGAAAATAGTAGTTAAAAAACCTCCTGCTTTTACATTTGATGTTGAGGTAGAATTTCTTGAATAGTGTTTTGCAGGGACTCTGAGCTACTTTATTGAAAGGCCATTAATGCCAAAATTCTGGTTACATAGCATCATCTTATTATCAACAGCAGCCAAAAATAGCTGCCTTTCTTCACATGCCCAATACTTGATAGCTGGCATTAGGGGGAGGGGAGGGAGGAAAAAAGAGAAAAATAAGTTCTGCAGATTGAAAACAAGTGTTAGAAATGTGAATTGCAAGCATTTTTCTAAGCAGTGTTGTAGAATGTAAAGATTTAGAGGGAGTAATTTAACTTGCTTCCTGTGTGCAACAAACTTGAATTCTTTGTGAATGAGTTGGCAGGAAGCCTATATAGACTGGTGTACTGGTTAGACTTATTAACAAGGATAATTAATCAGACTGGTTCAAGTAAAGTAGGCTTTTGCAATTCTGATTGGGACAGAACAAATTCTGGTAGTTTACTGCATGAGCAGTTTTAAGAGTTTTGCAGACAAAAATCTTGATTTTCTGTTAGAAGTTTTAAATATTTTTAAATAAAAAAGAAAAGAGGGTTTCATCACAGCAGATTTCTGAGTGCCCTCAGGTGTTGCTTCATCAAGTTGCAACAATTAACCCTGTGATTTAAGGAAACTTTTGGCAGCTGAACATGAATGGAAATGAGGGACTGACGATCAGTTATTTGAATTTCTGAATAAGAGAGATTTGCAGCCTCCCGGCTGAGTGGGAGGTGGTGTAAATGCTGCGGATTTGTGCCGTGTAGTCAGTGAGGAGCCTCTCCTTGGTGTGCCAGCCCTGAGGGGGTGTGAGCAGGTGCCAGCTGAGCACCCAGGGAGGTCTCCTTTCTGCTGCAGTGGGTGGGCAGTGGCCCCCACAGCACATCTGCTCCCAGGGCTGCTGCCCAGATTAACCTGGGGGGTTTGGTTTGCAGAATGAATTTTAACATTGTACTTTTGTTCCCTCCAGAAAGACAACAAAGTTGCTGCGTAGTCTACAAGAAAGCTGAAACCGGGCGAACGTCTAGATCTTCTTGATTCAGAGAATTAGTTTTGATCTCTGCAAAGAATGAAGTTAATTTGCTGTATACTTGTCACCAGCACTGGGATTTAACTATTTAATTTCAAAGGGGTGTAATGCAGTTACTTTTGAAAAATGGCCATCTTTGAAAACAGTGAGCATTAAATATATTTGAGACAGAAGGATAAGTAATTTCTTATGTATAGTTAATTATAAGCAGTACTTCGATGGAGTTTAAGTATTTTTTCATCACTGAAAGGATTTTTCTTATTACTAAACTGTATTTGATAATTGCTTCAAGTTGTAAGGACAATTGTATGCAGAAGGCCGTCGATACTGTGAGTGTTTTGACCCACTGAAGGTTGTTTTTTGGAAATCCTGTAATATCCCTTTTGAGGTAGTTGTACTTGTATCAACTAGGGTGCTGGACAGTAGAAAACTTGCTTTGTCAGTCAGATATGTACACACAGTAAATACTGTTTCTTAGGCAAAGGAAAGTTTTTATATAGTTGTAAAATTCCATTATATCCCATTGCCAAAGAAACATTACAAACTTTGTATAGCTGTATAAAAAGCAACTAATTTTTTAAAGAATAAACATTTTTAAGTCGGCAAACATACTGTGTTATTGCAGAAGTTGATATGCTGAAGAACACTGAAGTAGTTGGGTTTTTTTCTTTAGCAGCTTTTCAGGCTTCAATGTTTGATTTTATATATGAACTATAATGAAGTTTTGAAAAATGTTCTTCCATTACACGAGACTGGATACACGCTTCACTGCTCTTGCAAGAATTTGATTTTGTAGTTTCTGGCATATCACAGGATTTGACCAAGTTAAGGAGATATTTTCAAAAAAAGGAGAAAAGGAATTTTCGTATGTCAAGATTTGCAATTAATTTTACTTAGTGAGAAATATTAACTTTTTTTAATAATGGACCAGGCACGTGAGTTGGTGATTCTCCTGGAGTGCCTGGGAAGAAAGTCTGTCTCCATTTGTCAATTCTTGAAATGTTAGCTTTGTTGTAATACCTGTAGACATGAGCAATTTAAAGAATTCTTAGTGTTTGAAGTTGTTTGCATTTTGATAGACCGTAGCTTGGAGACAGGGAGACTCGGGTTGTGAGACCGCCAGGTCACAAATGACAGAGTATGGACTTCTGGCCAATTCGGGATGAGTAGTTACAACTTTGATATGCTGAAATAGAAACCTGGTCATTTGTGTCTGTGTATGTAAAAATGAAGGCCACAGGAATAAAGGGATCCAAAGATTTACATCACTTTGATCTAATTTGCTGATTTATTTTTTCTTTTTTTACTTAAAAATGTTCAGTGGTGATAAAGATGTGGAAAACTGCACTGTTAAAAAATTGGAATATTTAAAAGTGGTTGATAGAATCTTAATTTTATAACTTTTGTATAGCACTACAAGGAAGTATTTTGTAATTGGTTTCCTTATTAAGGTCAAGTATTTGACAGCTGTAGAAGTTAGGTAATATTGTTTAGTAATGTTTTTTGCATGTTAACAACTGCCTTTTGGGATCCACAAGTCATGATTCTGAACACCTGTTGAGGTTTTTGACCGTAGAGGCAAGTGCTGTCCTGTTGCAATAACTCTTTACTGTCTGAGGTGTTCCAGCTGTAAATACCGGGCCGGGAGCTGCGGCCGGGGCCAACCCCTGGGTGTCCCTGCCGCGCCCGGCCAGGCTTTCTGTTTTGTTTTGGTTTTTTTTATTTTAAACCAGAATAAACTGTTCAGTAGAAGCTGTCGGCTGGTTGTTGTGCCGGGGCTCTGAGGGCGGCTCGTGCCATTCCCGCCCTGCCGGGCCGGGAGCGGGGGGGGCGCGGCGCGTGCGCGGGCCCGCCAGCCAGTAGGAGGCGGCGGGGGCGGGGCCGCGGGGCTCCCTCAGGCGGCGAAGGCGCCGCCATGTCCGTGGTGTTCGTGCCCGAGCGGGTGCGGGGCAAGGCAGAGGTGAACCAGGACACCCTGCAGCGGGTGAGCGCCGGCACGGGGCTGGCCGGGAACGGGGCTGGGCCGGGATTGAGCTGGGACTGAGCTGGGACTGACTGGGTGGGAGCGGAGACTGAGCCGGAACTGGGCGAGCGGGGCCGGGGCTGGCCGGGCCGGGCCGGGCGGTGACCGCGCTCTGTCCGCAGCTGCTGGAGGAGAACGACCAGCTGATCCGGTGCATCGTGGAGTACCAGAGCAAAGGCCGAGCCACCGACTGCGTGCAGTGAGTGACCGGGGCGGGCAGGGCCGGGAGGGTTGCGGGGCTCCCGGGCCCAGAGCTTTACCACCGCTAAGAAAATGCATCCGGCCTTATGAAGGGACTTCATCAGAATCATTTTCACAGATGTATAAAGCAAAGCTGACCCCGCCGGCTCCGTGAGGGTGTTGGCTCAGTGTCCTGTGACAGCCGCTCCCCGGGTGTGACACACCCCCCCCGAACCAGAACACGTTTCCCCTGATTTACCATTCGAGTTTGCTATTTCTTTACCGGGCGGCAAATCCTGATCAGATTGCAGAAGTGACAGGTGTGGGTAGTTGGCTATAAAAGAGCAGGTTACTCAGGTACTGTTTCCTTCTCTCACAGGTACCAGCATATCCTGCACAGAAACCTCATTTATTTAGCCACTATTGCAGATGCCACACCGCCCGGCACGCAGAAGGCTGCAGACTGACTGACACCTGCACACGAGCAGTGCTGCTTTCAGACTGCAGAAATACTTAGTTTAGAGTCCACTGTGTGGTCCTGAAAGGCAGGTAAAAAGTGACCTCTACTTGTGTGTTTAAAATGTGACTGTAGTTTTCGATTTAGTACTGGACTAGCTCTTCCTCTGTTACTGTAATCAACACAGCTTAAGGGTGATTGATAGTTATCACAGTGCCTGTTTCCCTCTGGAAAACTCAGTGCAATGTACTCTTAGCACAGCCAGACAGCAGTGCTGGAAGCAGGTTCTGCAATAGCAGGGTAAGCACTTCACCAGGTGACTGCTACCTCCAGCACGACAGGCAGGCACGTGTTGCCATAAATAAGAACCATTTGTGTCCTGTATCAGAACTGTGCTGAATAAAGATGTTCTTTGTAAACTGTAGTATATTGTGAATGAATGTAACATGTTAACAAAGGAGCAGCTCAGTGATTCAGTGAAACAAATGTTAACTTTCCTGGGAACTAGGGGATTGCTGCATAACTCAGCAGTTAAGCCTTGAGAGTTGTGGGCAGGGGGCTGGAGTTCACTTTTGCTCACTACCATCCCATTTCTGCTAAAAATGTGGGTAACGTTATCAGTGTTCATCTGCACTACGGGGCCAAAGACCCTGCTGAGGCAGTGTCTGTGCCATGTCCTCCAGTGCCATCTGCTTGAGAAAGTAGCTTTAAAGATGCTTCAAATTGTACAGTGCATAACGTTTGGTTTTATAGGATGAGTCAGTAAGTAGGCAGTTGACAATTTTCAAACTGTTAAATAATCCCATGTTAATGAAATAAGATCTTTGTTTACAAACCAAAGTTACAGTTTAAGGTGCTGCTCATTTTCAGCAAGGTGCATATTTTAAACAGGTATGACCTATTAAATGTATATCTTTAATAAAGCAAATAGTTTACTTTTACAGAAGCTTTAAAATACAAACTGTACAGTTCCAGTTCAGAAGCATTAGCTATTCACAAGAAGCACTGCAATAAGGGTAAGTTAACTAAGCACCAAACCCTTGCACTTGGCAGTGTAAGTGAAGTTTAAGGGCAAGACTCATTTGCCAAGTGCAACAATTCTTAAAATTACCAGTGTTCAGAACAATCGGAAGCGAAGGACAGAGTAGCACCCACGTGGTCAAAATGCAGACAAACTTTCTTTGTTGTCACTGATGTAGGTCCAGGAACTCGACAGCATTTGTAATTATGAATAAACTGCAAAAACTAGAGCAATCATTTTGGCACTTGTTAGAAAAAAGTTCAAAATTAGGTGTTTTCATTAACTTCCATTTTGGTCTTAGTATGAATAATCAGTAAGTACAACCAAATTTAGGGTTTAATATTAGATCTAAACGACAAGATTGAGGAAACTCAAAACCATTCAAGTTAAATAACCACTAACAGTTTCAGTGGAGGGTTTTCAAAATTATAGTAGTACAGACCATTAACAATTTACAGACAGAAGCCACACTGATTGTGCAAAGCACATTACTGTAAAAAGTCTATGTACAGCAAACAAATCTTTGTAAACATGGTAAGTATGAAGTTTCAGAAAACATGGTGACAATATCATAAATACAGGCAACATTGGCATCCTCAAACAGCACAAAAGGTAACAATCTGGGCCTGCAAATAGAGCCCGTCACCATACAAACAAAAAAGGTGGATGGGCTTGAAATACCCAAATGTTTAATAGTTTTAGTGTTGTGTATACTTTTTATTTATATATATATAATGTATTTATTTTTTGGTATCTTTAGATATAGATGTACTTAGTTTGTAAAACCAAAACCAACAAATGTGCTTTATCTTCATTGAAAAATTATGTAGTTAGAACTAATAACCCATTTTACTAGTAGTTAACATATTAGAATGATATGACTTAAGAAAAATACAAAAATAAGATTAATACTGTCAAAACTCTTATACCAGAAAATATTGTGGTTTTTAGACTCTTTCAAAGATGAAATATGAAAATTTAAATAAGCTCTAACTATATAAAGAATCTTCTGTAATCTCAATTCATATACAGTGGGATAGCTATACATATATTTACCATTGTTCTTCAATTTTTAAGCACCAGTCACTCTCCCGGATCCACTTTGGTTGGAAGATAATTCCTAATTCCACAGGTTCACTTAATGGCACATATTGACTGCAAATAATTACTTTATCCTTTTAAAAAAAATAATGTTCTTTTAACTAACTGCTACCCCACGTTTCAGTTTTAGTATCTTCTGAGCCAGCTCACAATTTTTAATCAACTGTAGCATCTGAAATAAGACTTTAAATAAAAGCAAGTAGTCTCTTAGGCTTTGCTTTCGCAAGCTGCAGGAGCCCTGTGTGGTGCCAGCTCTGGCCAAAGGCTGCCGGCAGGAACGGGGTGTTTGTTCCAGGACGGCAGGCACGGCACCCATGGGTGCCACGGGCCTCCAGCAGCTCAGGGAGCCTGGGCCACCCACGGGGCAGGGGGCTGCTGAGCTCGGAGTCAGGAAACTGCCACAAAACTCAGTTTGCAACTGTTCCTGCAGCAGCTCCCGAATGAACTCATTGGGGTGGCACAGCAAAAGCTGCTGTCGCACTTCATTTAAAAAAAGCTGCCCACGGGCCATGGTGAGAGTACAAAGGCTCTACAGCTTGTCCTTTAGAAATTTAAACACAAACAGTGTTGAGCAAAGTGACCACTATATATTTGCTCCAACATATTCAATGTGTTTCAGTAAGATGTTTAACTATAAATCTATATGAAAAATAGCTATAAAATACAGTGTTTCTTGTATGGTAGTCCTTCAGCAGTTCTTTTTAGAAAAAAAAAATGTTTTGAAAGTAAAGGCAATATACACATTTTTAAAAGCATTTCTACATCACAGTTTTGGGCTGTTTCATGTCCACCAACAAACATATTGGCCATATTTGCTCAGCACTGTCAACCACAACTCCAGAGTCTGTCTGTCTCCCCCAAACCCCCTCAGCTCCCCATCAGTGAGATAACCAGGACACAGCCAACCCCCTTGGGAATTGGCAGCGGTGTTGTTCCCCTTTGGCCCCGCGCTGCTCTCCAGCAGGAACTGTCAGTACTGGGGCAGGTACGATGGTCTGCGCTCGTGCTTCACCGGGAAGGATTTGAAGCCCTTGTTGATCTGTTTGTGCTGGGAAGCCTGTTGGGATTGTTGCTGCTGCTGCTGCTGCGCGAAGGCGAAGCCGGAGGAGATGCCGGCGGCCGGGGCGCAGTCGCTGGCCCAGAGGGGCGACGGCAGGAGCTGCATCGTGTCACTCCACTGGCTGACGGGGCTGCCCAGGGGGTACAGGGACGAGCTCTGGCCGGGCAGGGTGCCCGTCACCGAGGACGAGTGCTGCCACGGCGCCTTCGGGGGCCACGTTTTGGTCTTGTTGTCCTGGCAAAGCAAAACCAGCTGGGGTCAGTTTCTTTCAATGCCAACGCGCTTTTTTTGAGACAGTACTTAACAAATCATCTTGGCCCCTCTTAAAGACATTTTCAGAAGGTTCCACAGACTTGTGTGTCCCTTCCAACCTGGAATATTCTGTGAAATCCAAGCCAGTGACCACAAGGATCATCAAGGCCAACTCTTCAGTGAATGGCCCATAACAGGGATCAAACCACAACCCTGGTGTTACCAGCACCATGTTCTAACCAACTGACCTCATCTCAGGGTCATAACTTATATTTGAAAGCAGAATTGATGCCTATGGAAAGCACTCTGGATTCTTAACACCTGTTAAAAAATTCTTAACTGCCTGTTAAAAAAACCTTTGAATTTACTTCAGCATGACAGAGTGGCCCCAACAAAAGGGAAAGGTGATTTCCAATTTTAATATTTCAATTTGGTGACTTTGCCAAAAGTATCTTGTACTCCTCAAGTGCAGATGGTTTGGGGTTTTGCTGAAGTAACCAATCTGGAGATACAGATGCTGTTCCAGTTGTTTTCCTAGTGCAGACCCCCCCAGATGCAAACTGGAGCTCACCTGACTGCGGTCATCAGCTGCAGACAGAAGGGGAGGCGATGGCAGCGTGCTGGGTTCCTGTTCACCACTGCTGTGCTTTCTGCCCAGAAAGAGAGGGACAGTCACTGTTTGTTTATCAATGACTCAGCCCCATTGCATGGTCCCAGCCTGGCACCCCCACAGTGGCACTGCCCTTCCATCACCCTCCAGGTACTTTTTGCTCCGTACAGGCAAACACAGCAATACAGAAAGAACCTGATCGCTGAGTCCTGGCAGGGGCTTGGCTCTGCAGCCCCTCCTGCAGCTACAGCTTCAGCAAGGTTGTTATAGAGGTGAGAGGAAGCTTTTGAAAATCTGCCAGAAATTGCCTTTTCTGTCACCTGCTCTCATGGCTCATGTTTCTTTGGGGTTTTTTAAGTATGTTTTCTGAAACAACTTTACAGGCAAGATAAAAGAGCAGTTGAACAGGTGAAGCATCTGCTGAAGCACAGTGACTTGACTGAAGAAAAACATTCCACCTTCAGTTTAAATTTGTGACCTAACACCTGGTATCAAATAGAAATCCTCTCAGAATGCCCATGTGGTCAAGATTCTTTTAGTCTTGTGTTTTGGATTTTTTTAGGGGGTGGGATTAGGTGGATGGGTTTAGATTAAAGCAGATGGGTTTAGATTAAAGCAGAATCTTTCATTTCATCCTTCCTTTAATAAAAGCCAAGCAGCATGCTCCAATCATCAGGCTCCATGGGTAAGCAGCCCTTTGCAGGTCAGCTTTAGCACACCCAACCCTTTGGCCTTCTCTTGCTGCCCAGGTGTAGCTCTCAACTGAAGAACATTTTTCTTGCTAAAAGGAACATGAGACAGTAGTACTGTTACTTCAGCTGAAGTTTTTGTTCAGTGAAGCACATTCCTTGAGAACTTCCATCTGCTCTTCAGAGCTCTACATACAGCACAGGCTTTTCTTGTTCTTGCTCCATGAGTCACTCCATGATCCATCTCTAGCAGTCTGCTGTCTTGGCAGGTTAATTCACCCCTTAGGTGCTATTGTGTTTTCTTTCCCTGCTGCTTTTTAAAAAAATACAAATAATTCCTTTCTCTGTGATGTTTATGCAGTGGCTCTCTTCCATCAACTTCAATTTAGCATTCACTGAAGCTCAGCTCCTGTTCCCTCTCTGTAAAGTCTTGGTAAGTGTAAAGGTTCAGAAAACAGCTGCTCTTTTGGTCAGTTCCTTTCTGACAATGCCCATAAAAACAGCTACCCAGGTATAACCTGGGGGAAAGTGGCAGTGCACCCCCTGACTTCTTCTGGTCACCCAAAAGCAAACAGACAATCTTGTATCTAAAGGTATTGACTCTGAATTATTTTATGATGTAAACAAAACCAGAATTCTTGGCCACAGAACTAACTTGTTCTATTTTTCAAAAAGACTCTGAGAAATAGTT